TACCATTTAGTCCCTGCCTTCCATAATACTTACAAATTAAATCCGGATTTTACACTTTTAACCTCCAACTTCTAAACTCTTCACAAATTAGTCCGGGACTTACATTTATTAATCTATTTAAATAAACGGGGCGTTACATCAACACAAGCAACAACTATGACTTTTCATTTAGGATGACGTCTCTTTTTTTGATATATGCAAATCCCAATTTACAATGTATAGCGTCTATCATTTATAAGTGAGTAACTATTATATATAATATTTAATTGCACTGATTACTTTTTATATTTTTCACAACAAATTGAGAAATTGATGAATTATAATATTTTTGTCTTTTCATTACTTAAATTAAAATAATACAAAATGATAGAATAACCTTACAAACATATTTTACATTGATTACAAACTTGATTTTTAGAGGACACATTGGGAAATTATAAAAGATACATTTCGTTTCGCGATCAATAAAACTTCCTCTAATTTTAACAACATTTGAAAGACGGTCCAGTTTCGTCGAAAGCATGTCAATCTTTAAACCCATAACACCAATCATTTTTTTTACCTCTTTGAGTTTTTTCTTAGTATCAGTTACCAGTTATCCATTCTGGCCTTTCTTGCACCTATATTGAGAGAACATGTACACGCTCATTGAGTATCCGACTATCTTTGGAGTCCATCTATTTGGCTTATTCAGATTGTGTCATGTAATCGAGAATCTTAGCTGATAGTGGTTAATTTTGGCCATCATAAATCTGTTAATATGAGAGTAAACATACCAATTTTTCTCCTCATAATACCAAACACCAAATTTATTTGAGCTCATTTTATAGTGAATAAGAAAATGGTGGGATGAAAACATTTTATATAGTATGCATAAAGAAGGTGGTGAGTGGAAAATAAATATCGTTAGGTAAATTCTTAAAGAAGGTGATAGTTGGAAAGTAAATATTGTCTGTTTAATTGTAAGGGTGGACGAAGTCGATGAAAGATGACGCTAAATGAGGCGTGGTATCGGAGGAACTAAAGGTACCACGACTCCACCATAGGGAGGGTTTAACTAGGTGAGGGTTGGCCGACTTCACCATGCCGCTCAACCCAATCTCTTTACTCTTCTTTTATTTGTACCATCTGCTTCATTACTTGTACAATTAGGAATTGGTTCGGATAGATGAATTATTTGTATTATGAGTTATAGGAGGGATGAAAATGAGAGGAAAAAGAAAAATGATGTAACGTCTAAGATGACAAGTGGGTTGGAAGAGTCGAGGGCAAAAAAACTCTCTACCCTAACTCTACTCAAAATGTCACTTTTACTAACCATTTCACATATTAGTTCGCATATTTTATCTGTTAAAATAATAGTTTTTCGCAAATGGTAGGTGCCATTTTTCATATATAGCATATTGATTTTTTAAAACAAAACGGTAACTTCTCATGACATCTTTAATTTCATAGACAAGATATGCTAAATCTATGGTTATTTTTGGAAAACTTATAAATTTTTATTAAATCTTAAAAAATGTTAAATAAGATTAACTTAAATTGTTTTTTTTTTCTCTTTAATTAATAAGACAAATAAATATATTCGGTTATTATCAAATCAAATATCGTATATTTTCTTAAAACAAGAAAACTTATAATTTTATATGTTATACAATGCATAGGACTTGGTTTATATGACAACTAACAAGTGACAAGTACCTATTAATTTATTTTCACATGAAAGATCATTAATAATTCTTTAATTCCTATACAGAAAAAGTGGTCTTTGTTCATCACCTAATATAACCGTGACAGAAGTCGACAACAGGATCCGTTTCTTGAGGTAAGTATTTCATTCTACTTTTGATCAACTTCTTTGTCGTCATCATCATACATGTAAAATAAGATTTGATCTTTGTTTCCTTTATTATTATCGACTTGACTTGATTCATAAACTATGCCCACTTGATTATTCGAGTAGATGATACGTTCTTTGGTGGTTGTTGACTTTCTCTTTATCAATTGGGTCATCGAGTTGAAGGTTTCTATGATTCTTTGAGTTTCTTAAAATACCCATAAAGAAAAGATCGTGGGTTTTTGATTTATTCGAAGCTAAAGCCTTCTTGATGATGTGATTCTTGAAATACCCATATCATAAAGATTGTGGGTTTTTCATTTCTTTGATTCTTAAATCCTTCTGGATCTCAAAAAGATTGTGGGTTTTTAATTTCTTTGATGCTATCACTTCCCTAATTCTTCCCCTAAATTTGCAATTTCTAGGGTTTACCATGGTTCCGTTGACTGATTCATGTATTGATTGGTAAGTCTCTATGCTCTCTATCTTTTGTGTTTCTATAATCGATTTCAATCAAAAGAAAAGATTGTTTTATTCAATAGTAAATATACGACAATTTCAGAGCGCAATCAGGAATTGAATTGATGGGTGTAGATCAAAGAACGAAGACCCTATTCGTATAGCTCCTTGTGTTATCCAATTGAGTTCATAAAGATTTTTACTTTTGTCTTGAGGAAACAAGAACAAGAACAAATTAAAGATCTTTAAGTGTTTGCATACATAAAATTTCTGTTATAGATAAAGTTAAAAGATCAAAGATGTCAGGAGTTCAAGATTCATTAGAGATAAAATTCCGTTTGATTGATGGGTCAGATATTGGTCCTAAAAGCTTTCCAGCAGCTGCAAGTGTTGCGACTTTGAAAGAAAGCATACTTTCTCAATGGCCTAAAGGTTTGTAGAAGAATCTTTTGTACTTAAAATTTCGGTATTTAAACATGTTTATTTTGTGGTTATCATGTCTCGAGATGCATATTTGTAGTTAAATTTTGGAAAATAAATAAGATTCAAATTTCAATCACTAAAATGACCAAAACGATAGGTTTCGTTTCACAAAATGACCACTTTATTTTTTTTTTTTATTTTTTTTTTTTTTTGAAAAAAATTACAAAATAACCACTCATTTTGCAAAATAGCTTTGGCTTTGCAAAATTACTTTATTCCCCTCAATGAAAACGTTTCATTTCACAAAATAATGTGTATTTTTTGCAAAGTACTTAAAAATGCAGATGTATTATGAATTTCTCAAAGACATTTTTGCGAAATATGTAGTTATCTCATAATTTTTACTTAAAAAATGTTCACTTTATGATATGACATCTCCTATTTTGGTCATTTAAGTGATCATCCCTTTGAATAATCACATTGGTTTCTTTTAATTTTTACCCTTTTGGGTGTTTTAGGCGATTTAGATCATTTGCAAAATAAAAATCTTGGAAATGTCCTTCAATCTTTCTTTTTTTGTTAATCCTCATCATCAAGCTAAGCTAGAAAAACTAGAAAAGGGAGTGAAGTTAAAATTTAGAAAAATATTTTTTTTTTGGGGATGAAACTTATTTAATATATGATATTGTATATTTTTGGTTTTGCAGAAAAGGAGAATGCTCCAAAAACAGTTAAAGATTTAAAGATAATTAGTGCAGGAAAAATATTGGAGAACAATAGAACAATAGGCGAATGCAGGAGTCCTTTGTGTGATGTTCCTGGTGGAGTTACTACTATGCATGTTGTCGTTAGCCAACCACCTCAAGAAAAAGGTAAGGGTAAAATGACCGAAATACCCTTTTTTAAATGTGTGTATAGATTATACAACTATCCATAGTTAGTATTCAACTATGTTTTTATAAAAGTAACATTTTGTTACAAAAAGTCGATAAAGGGTAATTCTGTCATTTGTCACGTATTTATAATTGATTTTCAGATATGTATTTATGAAACAAACAGTCATTTACAAAAAGAAATAATAAAGGGTAATTATGTCATTTGTCGTTTTTTACATTCTAAATCTTTTTGACATTGTTGCAAACGAAACAAAAACATACAAAGGAATGTAAGTATATTTGTATTCCATTCCGTTTCCTGTCGACCAAAATATCCCTTTAGTAACATATGTTGTAAATGACGGAAATACCCTTTTTAAAACGGTTTTAAAAAGATTCGTGAACAAGAAACTATTAAAAGGGTAATTTTTTTACACGTATTCCTAATTGATTTTCAGATCTATATTTATAAGACAAACAATAATTACAAAAAAATATCAAGAAAGGGTAATTCCGTAATTCTATCATTTGCCATTATCGACCTTCCGTAATTCTATCATACTAACTAAACAAACGCATGACAAAATTCAATTCCTTCATATTCCAATTTCTTCCAAAATATTATTCGAATCAAACACAAACACAAACACCTTCAAAATTATATTTTTCTTTTTGGAAAATCAACAGAAAAGAAAGTGACAGATGATCCAAAGATAAACAAGTGTGTATGTGTGATATTATAAGAAGCAACTCCAAATACAACCGATTTACATCTTCATTTGCAGGTTTGTTGCCACTTTACTCTTTATTTGTTACATATTGCTATTAATATTATCATTAAATTATTTAAATTTATGTACGTATGTTGATATTATTGCTCAAAAAGTGTAACTATGTCACTATTGTGGGTAAAAAATGAAGTATATTGATTATATTGATAAAAAGAATAAGGTACGTTTTTATTTCTTGCAATTTACCCATTTTAAAAAAAGTAGACATTTTTATGAATTTATGGCAGATAAAGGATGCTGGGGTTTGCATAAAGATGATGATGCTGTTGATGAATGGTTTGGATTGAGGTTTTACAAAGAAAACAGAAAAAGAAAAAGAAAAAGAAAAAGGAAAAATTGGTGAGATTATATACATTTGTATCTATACAGATTGTTTTTTTTTTTGGGTTCGTGTTTTTTTTTGCATATTTTGTTAAATCCTGTGAATTTTTTACTTTGAAAACTCTTTCTTGGTGGTTTTTGATTCTTATTTGGTTGAAAAACTGTGATTAGATTTGATTATTTGAATGGAAACAAATTATATTTCTTGTTTTGTGTTTGGGTAATGTTACCACTTTTGATGCACAAGGTACAAATCATTGATTGCTGTTTTTGTGTAAGCTTCATTAGAGCAGATATAAATGTTGACTTATTGGTTTTTTGACAATGGTCAAACGCTGAAGCAATAGACTATATATATGAAGTGGTTTATCGGTATTAATGTACAACTTTCAATGCATAAGGTACAAGTTGTTGTAGAAGAGAGATTCCCCAAATTCGTTTTAAGTCTTTCATATTCTATATGAAGAGAAAATGCCCAAATTCGTGAGGTACAACTTTTAGTGCACAAGGTAAGGTATGAGTTTTTAACGTATCTTCACTAATATTGTTGTTTTTAAAGCATGTGTTGTTTTGGTATATACCATTTTTTTGTTTGAAAAAGTAAATATTACACAATTTAAATTGATGGTCGGTTTGTGTTATGTTTTATATTAAATGGATTTTTATTTTATTTTATTTTATTTTTATTTTTATGTTTCATCTGTGGTTTGTTATTTTTTTCGAGTAGTCTAAATCTCGCAAAATTTAATTGTGGATTTGGTCTCTCATAATTAAAAAGATTTTTTTTTTTTTTTACCCTTGTGATTTAATTTTTATATATATTTCTAATATCTATTAAAGATTTAATAATTCTAAAATTCAAAATAAACCCCCAACTCACCCAATTCTTTCCCTTTCCCGGAGGTTTCTATTTAAAGTAGAAGGGTTTTGTTTTTTATAGCTTTAAAATAATAGTAATGAAGGGTATAAAAGTTGAAACATCTTATTGCAATTTTGTAAAAAAATAAAAGATAAAGTGAAAAAATGGATCAAATGGGTAAAAATACGGGTTTTAATCGGTCGTAAAAAAGAGTATCACTGGGCCTGAACTTTCCGATTCAATGGAGTCTGTAAGTAGAAAAAAGACTAGTAAAAAAATAACATCTTACTCTTAATATGAAAATGTATTTATTATTAATTAATTATAAAACAAAAACTATATTTTTTGGAGCATAATATTGTCTAAAAATACAATATTTATAAATATCTTTGTCTTGGATATTGTCATTCTAAATCAAAAGGACCACTTACTTGATGATTTTATCGGTTGAAGTGTTTATGAGATTAGCTTTGTTAAACATGGAACGTCAAAATGATCGAATGACAAACTGTTATCCATCAAGGAGCTAAACTGTTTTCGAAACCCAAATTGCTCCTTTTGGAGTAAAATGGGGTTGCCTTGGGTCCATTACTTCTTTTTACAAGATGAGTTTTTCTTCTATTGTAAGTAGAGCACCACATCATTTGTATTACAATCTTCTAATAAGACTATCCATTTTAACCAAAGTTGAAAAAGTTAAAATGGTGGTAGTTCAGCCATGCATTGGGAATATACACTCAACAATGTGGTCGAATGTTGAGGGCCCTACAAAAGCTTGAGAATGTCAAGATTATATTGACGAAATTGTATAAATGTTGTTCTTTATATGAGGAATTTGAGAAAACTGGAATATAATATATGAAACATAAAAAAAGGTACCAGACAAATTGAGAGGATAATAACAAATATGAGAGCCGAAAAAATGAAATTTCAGATTCAAGATCTCGAAATATTAAAATCGATAACATAGAATTTCTAAGAATATAATATTCAAGAGTGTTTTTGAGTTACTTTGAAACTAAATTAGCTCATCATCATTTACACATACCTGCTTTTGAGTTATTTTGAAACTAAAGTAGCTCATCATCATTTACACATACCAGCGGATACATTGTCTTCAGGGTAATGTAGCCTGTTGAGTTTGAGCTGTTTCTGTGCACACCAACAATGTGTTGGTGTGCTATTTCCTTTTTCTTCTTTAAATTCCTGCATCATAGGTTAAGGTTCATCCCGAGGCTTTCTTTCTTTTTGGCTTATTCTTCTACAATTTCGAATGGTATTGGCTCGTGCTCGTTCAGAAGCAAACATTGTCGCCCAAATGGTGAAGTTGGAAGTAAGGAGATTATCCGTATAATTTCGCACATCAAAAGACATCATCTCCTAACTGGAGATCGTAAATGTGTTTTGTGTGAGGCTCTTTCTACCGACGATGGATTATTTATGGTGGTAGAGGAAACATTGAAGGCTTTTAGTCAATGGATGTGTAAGAAGTGTATGACTTTACATGCTGTTATTCGTTCTTATCATCACCCAGATGGTCTTGTTCGTTTTATTATAGGGGCCGACAGCTTGAGCAGTTACATTGTTGGTATTTCAAAGCCGTCCACCAAAGCATCCGCAACAAACGTTATTGATGGTTTGGTTTTGGATGTTGGGCTCTGTAACGCCCCAAATTTCAACCCAAAATTTTCGATTAAAACTTTAAGTATTTATTTAATTCACAACTGCAAGTTCTTAAAACATTTATCAGAGTATCATTAAAAGTTATCAAGTACACAAGTCCCCCATTGATGCGATGCAATCGAGCCGTGCCCCTCCTTTAATATAAGAAAACCTAAAACATGTAAAATACAAATCGTAAGCACAAAGCTTAGCGAGTTCCCCAAAATACCACACACAACACAACACAAATAAACAGCTATGTGTTATCATCAACCCTAGGGACTATCAGCAGTCGCAGTGGGCTAACAGCATGCCCAGTGGGTTATCAGCAACCCTGCAGACTATCAGCAGTCTCAGTCACATATAAATAGCATAACACAATAATAACAGCTAGACTCAGCTGGTCATCATAAATACAACTATTCTACCACACGGGCTCATACAAACATGTGAGAGTCACAAAGACATCTAACATCCTACATACATAATTTAGTGAGCCGGCATTGGTGCCTTCGACTCACGAGCACCAGGAGAAGACTCACCTGAATCGAAGAACCCTGAAACACTACGACACGACCCCTTTTCTGCACCGATCGCACCCGCGAATCCACTAATACTAGAACCAGATAAAATCTTAATTAATAACCCAAACCCCTCAAGTTTGACCTAAGGTCAAACTTGGTAAAAAAGTCAATGGTCCACGGAAGTCAAAGTCAACAAGTCAACTTCAGGCTGAGTACGCCCAACGTACTCAGTTCGTACGCATGGTGTACTCACCATCCAGAATCGGGATCCCATACGAGTACGCGCAACGTACTCGAAGGTACGCCCGACGTACTCGGCCAAAAGGCGCTTTTCCATTAAGTGCTTAATCTCTTAAGTCCTTTCATCCAACACTTAGATATAGTCCCACAACATTATTCTAAGTCATAAAGTTTCCACCTTTATGACTTTCCATGTCTAGAAAAGGTCCAAAAGCGAAAACCTTAACTTATTAATCCATTAAGACATCATGACACTTTCATGGAAGATATAGAAGGATCAAGATTACATTTTTATGGATCCTAAAAGCTCCATAATGGATAAAGTTTCCAACTTTATCCATTAGAATGGTCCAAACCTATGAAAACCCGAAATCTTTATCTGTAAATCAAATTCATCCAATAAAAGTCAGACTCGTTTCTGTTATCGCTTTATTGTATTCAGGGTCAGTTTGAGAGTCTTTAAGCCTACTACACTCAAGGGTTGAATGTTGGGAAGCGTTATCTTGAAATCCGTAGTTTGCAATCGAGCCTGGAACACCTTCAAAGGGAGTTCACGGCCGTGAACCCATGCTTGGGCCGTGAACCACCCTCCATATATATATATATA